AAAAATCTTTAAATAACATAATCACATTAGATTAAATTACACTCGAATACGTTAAAAAATTCAATCCAAACTGTTAACACAAACGTGAGTGGACTGTTTTTAATACACAAATACACAAATTTTTTTACTAGGTGCATTCAGAACGACAATCGCTCACTGAGCGCTCAGTGAGCTCTTTCATTTGATTGATTTATATTTTAGGATCTAATGGAATATGCCAATCAGATGAAAGAGCTCACTGGGCGCTCAGTGAACGGTTGACGTTCTGAATGCATCCAATGTGTACTAGCTCTTCATTTAAATAAAGATTAACGTACTATTCTAGGCGAGAGGACCTCGCCATTTGCCTTTACAAATTGATTGCCAACAGCACCGTTTGCCCACATCATATTTGTCGATAATTCGTTTGCATATAAAAATATTGCCTATTCGATTGTTTACATGCACTATATTGTGCACAAATATAAGTGTGTGTGAAGCTGACGTATCATTTCGTAGAAACTCACTAATTATTGAGAGTTCTGGCTGTATTTTCAATACAGCCTATAGTTCTAGATCGATTAAATTAATAATTCTGCCCTTTAAAGCGAAAAAATGCGAAAAAACGAACTAAGTGAGCCAGGTCACACTTTATCCTACGCAAGTTTTGACTACAGATTCTTAGGATTTTAAAAGATACATAGTTCTAAGTGAGTTTTAGAAAGAGTTCTGGCGATAAACAACATTATTTTTAATGATTTTATCCCTCCAAAAAATTAAAGGAACAAAGATGTGACGTTGACCAATTTTCGACAGTTCTGTGAGTTTTTGACAATTCTCGTGTAGTTTTGAACGTACCCTAACGCTTTTCGAAGAGTTCTGATGATATAAATTAATTGCTAATTTTTTAAACACTTTTTGTCACCCAAGAAAGGCGCCTTTCAAAATATATGTGTGAGACGCTTTTGTTTTTTCGTTTTTTTCGCTTTAAAGGACAGAACTATTAGTTTAATCGATCTAAAATTATATAGAACTATATAGAACGATATAGAACTATGAATATATTGATAATACAACCAGATATTGAAAATACCAGAACTCTCAATAATCAGTTCACGAAATGGTAGCTTCATACACACCTTGATAAAATTAAAAAAAAAAAAAGATACGTTTACACACTATTACGCACATAATATTATTGCCTTCACATCAATTGCCTACAAGCATCATTTTTTACTTTAAAAATATAAATAATTCTCTGCTTTGGAAACAAAAATTATCTGTTTTAATGCTTGTACGCAATCAATTTGTAGCATATACTATAACGTTATCAAAGAACATTTGGGGACAACATACTTGAAATAGCTTGGGAATTTCCTGCAAGCCTATTCTGTAATTCTTAACGTAAGTTTTGTTTTCGTTATTGTTATAACGTTGCCCTGGTAACAATTTTTTTCATAGTTTCCCATATAATCAATATTTGAGAAATTATGTGAAATTATGAGAAATTTTTCAGTTTTTCTATTAAATTTTTCTATCAATATTCTGTCAATTTCTATCAATATTTTCTCATATTTTTTTCCGACAACAAAAAATATGAAATTTTATATTTTCTGAAAATGATTCAATGAGAAATTATGAAAAAATATTCAAACTTCTTAATATTTTCTCCTATTTTTTTCCAACAACAAGAAATTGAAAATTATATATTATATATGACGTAATTAAGTTTTAAGATATTTACGTCACTATATTTCTCATAAATAAAAATAAAAATTTCTCTTAATTTCTCATGGGAAAGTTCTGAAGAACCATAATATAATATTTCTTGTTTCTTGTTTTGTTGAAATATGAAAAACTTCTCATAATTTTTTTTTAAATCGTTCTGAGAAAGTATGAAATCTGATTTCTTGTTGGAAAGGAATAAAAAAAAGAATATAAAAAAAAGAAAATCTGAAAAATTTTTCATAATTTCACATAATTGCTTATGATAATAATATTGAATAGGATTGAATAGGACTATAGAATATATAGAATAGAGGGTATTATATTCTTGAGGCTTCCACGGGTGCTTTCTATATAATATCTTTATATAGAATAGGATTATATACTAGGATAGATTATATACTATATATAGAATATAATGGTAATGATATATATATAATAGGACCCTATAACTTTGACTTTAACATATATTATCAAGGTCATGTTATCAAGATCAAAGTCATCAGAGGAGAGGGGGGGATTCCTTATTCAATATAATTACCAACAATATTGTGTCATTGCATTTTTGATGACAAAAGTAATCATTCTTCTGTATAGCTGGCTCTGCTCAAAGAAAAATAGTAAATAAATATTTTTTAATTAAATTCATTTCCAAATTATTATTATTAAAACTATTGTTAAAAGTCGCTGTAATAATTTTTCGCTAATTAATCACTATACTGTTTATCCTAACATATTATTGATTTACAAATGTAACGTAAATCTCGGATGGTAGTCTCAGGTCAACGGCGCTGTATTGCAATAGGTACTTTGCCGCACGATTTTCCTATTTACGAGCGGTGCATGCTATTCACGTAAAAGTCCGAACTCGTTACGATGATGGCGTCGTATGACCCAACGTGTAATGGCAAAAATTCTAAGCGATTGTCGTAAATCTGCAACGGTGGCGGCTCCAAAGAAAGGAATAAGATTGTGATCGTATATGTCGTTACCTCCTTTAACGATTATCGTTGCTCTTCAAAGAAGCTCCTTTTCGTCGTCGTCGTTGTCGTCGTCATCATTTCGGTCATTGTTACGCATAAGAGAGAGAGAGAGAGAGAGAGAGAGAGAGAGAGAGAGAGAGAGAGAGAAAGGGGGAGAATGAAACGAAAGAAGAGAATAGGAAGAGAGAAGAAGAGAGAGGAAAACCACAATTGCCCGCAATATTCTTGCGTCGAATGAGGTCTGTAAAAAAATAGCGTGCCCCGTTGTGGTCGATCTTAAAGTCCGCGATGTATCTATTACGTCCGCCACAATTTCCGGCTAGAAACTGCGGAAGTTCGGAAAGAAGTTTCTGCGGCTTCGGGAGCGCTACTTCGTACGCCCGAACTTGGTAATAGTTTTACGACTTTTCAGGCTTACGGGGTCGAGCCCCGATGCTCGCGTCGAATTAGCGGCCTGGGACCTCCAGGCTCTTTTGAGTCTCGAAGTGCCGTGACTCGCCGCGAACAAAGCTCATCCAACGGTTTCCCAGCGCTGAGGTGATTGTACAGGGTTACTAATTTCCGTTTCTTTCGCTTTATCGATATTTTGATTATCTTTTTTCTTTAATTTACACTTTCATGCTGCGAAAATTACAAGAAAAAGAAAAAAAGGACATATGTTTTTCACTACAATTTTTTCTAGATAATACAGACCGATATTCGTAGTCAATTCTTATATTCAAGATCGTCTTAAATACAATCTTAAGCTGACATAAGCCATAGAGCCATATTAGCCTCTTAAAACATTATTTAGACAGTTTTAAAATAAGATCCGATTATGAATATCGCGCAGAAAACACGGTTTTGTTGAAGTTTGTTGAAGAAAAAAATTTAGCAAGCTACAAATCAAAAAATAATCTTATTTTGGATCAAAATAATTATGCAGGACACTAAAATTAGCTTCTAGAATGTTAAAATTTTTTGCAGTATTGCTCATCATGCTTGAAATTTTTATGTAACTATTTTGATAATTCAATAACATTATTTTCAGATCTTCTAGCTAAATTTTTAGGTACTTCAATCAAATTGTTCTTTCCATGTAGCCATAATATTATCTGTTTATAAAACATTTAATACAAATGTAAGAAAAAAACGAGAAGAGAAAGACTTCTCTTTAAAACGGACGATTTGGAAATATGTATTGTATACGAGGAATAAAGATATTTTATTCAAGTATGCAGTGCAAAATATCGATGTTCCTTTCTTCAGAAAAAGAATATGTAATATAAATGCTTTCCTTAGATATGAATAATTCGATAGTTTCTTCTTTCGCAGAGAAATACAAGAATTATTAGGTTTTAAGCTCAAGAATCCTTTTTCCGAAGCATTTGTCTCTTGTGACAAAGCATTCTTTTCTCTTGTTCACGTCTTCAAACGATATAATGATATAATGTGATATAAGAACTGGGAAAGCTTCTCTGACGACGCGATATATTTTCTTGTTCGACGCACTGAATTGGGATTTCCGTATTGATTGCGCCTGTCGCAAAAGGAGTATGAAAACACTAAGCTCCGGATCTCGCAGCGAAATTGATTATCGACAGGTCCGGCGGACGATATTGGCGGGCAAAAATCGATTTCCGCGCACATCAATCATAATCTACTTAGCTCGTGTAGCCTTAATCATCTAAATCGATCCGACAGCGGTTATGCACAATAAATGCGCGCTTCCAACACTATGTACGTACTTAGTGATTGAATTCACTGATTCACGGAATGACTAATACTATATTATTCCTGATTACTCTATTATCTTCATCGTAGAAATCGGACGAAATTTTAAATATTAACGTGTTGTAGACCAAAAAAAAATACGTTTATAGGGCCAATTAATTGACATTTTTGGACAAAAAGAAAAAAACGTATAAAAAATGTAATAGGAATAAAATGTAATAATGCAAATTGCGACAATTAATCTTTTACTTCTTGACTTGTTTTATAAACATGTATTTTAATCTAAATTAAACTTCTATAATGAATTAATGATAAATGAATAAAGTTTTTATGCGTTTCTAAAACATTATTTAATTTTTTTACATTTTCTCAGAGTTTAATAACTCAGAAACTGTTACGGTTTGATAGAATAAACTTTCGAGACACCCTAAACATTTCGTTTCAAGCGAACGCAGCTCGCAGCATATAAGGGGAGTTAACGAGAGGAATAAATAAATTTGCTAAGGTATATAGAAAGGGATTTTGGAGGTGTGTGGGTGATCATAGTATAGCCAATAACAGAAACTTTTGAAAACAAACGTTTCTTTTTTGTTGTTCCAGCGGGTAACAACGTGAACGAGCCACCTATCCTGGAAGCTGGGGGATACCCTACGGGCTTACCACTCTCGGAATCGACCAAGGTCGGGACGGAAGTATTCGTCCTGAAGGGCCACGATCCCGAAGGATCGCCAGTGAAATATGGCATACAACTCACGGACCATTTCGTCGTCAACCCGCGTACCGGTGTCATCACTTTGGCGAAGCCACTCAATCGCGAGGTAAAATATCATTTGATTTAGACGATCGACGTTCTTATCGAAGAGGGAACTTGCACGCAAATTGCACATAGTTCTTATTTGAACGACAGATGTTCATCCTATTTTAGCGATATTCTTAACTCATGCAATATCTTACGCGCGACTTTACTCGTGCAATATCTTACGCCCGACGTCGTTTGTCTCTAACAGTTTGTTTTTTTATATTTATATGCCTCGTCCCACATTTGAAACCTCTTTCTCCTTCCCTACTTTTTTTTGTTTCTTTGAATATAATGTAAAAAAAAAGAAAGGTTATTTATTGAAGTAAATATATAACATACACACACATATATATATATATATATATATATAGGGTG